TTGTTGTGCATGGTTCTTCTTCATCAAAAAAGATGTTCCTTAAAATTAGGGTATAATATCTTCCTGTTCAGTTGGTGTAAAAAAGGTGGGGGGAAGGGTATAATACATTTGATTGGTGGATATTTTAAAGCTGCATTTTTGTGACTGATCCCCAGGGAACTTCTGTATTACAATAAAGATTTGGCACTATATCAAGTCCTTGGGAGGACATGTCTTCAAAAATAGCCCAGAGATTAAACCAAGATAGCTATGGAAACTAACATTATTTTTGAATTGTAAATCAGAGATGCTTGAATGAGATGAAATTAAAATAATACTCTTATTCCTTTCTTAAAAGAATTCTGGGGTTCCGTGCTAGAAGAACAAGTTGATTTGTATTAGAACAGAAAAAAATTGAAAACTGAAAATGTTGTGATTTCTAAAACTTGTCACTGAGGGGTGGTGGCCTCGTCCAAACCTCAAAGGGACCACGAATTGAAAGTCTTAGGCTCTGTTCCTATAGCACAGTGGTTACGGCACCAGCCACATACACCAAGGCTGGTAGGTTCAAAACCGGCCCAGGCCAGCTAAACAACAATGACAGCTCCAAAAGAAAATAACTGGGCGTTGTGGTGGGTGCCTGTAGTCCCAGCCACTTAGTAGGCTGAGGCAAGAGAATTGCTTAAGCCAAGGAGTTTGAGGTTGCTGTGAGCTGTGATGCCATGGCACTGTACCAAGGGCAACACAGTGAGACACTGTCTCAAAAAAAAAAAAAAAAAGTTTTTTGTGTCAGCAACACTTTTTTTGAGAGAGAAAAGTTCATAACCTAAAACTACAGTCTCAGAACTAGGGAGCGGATAGGAACAAAATTTCTGCATAGGAAGGCCAGGCATAGTAGCTCATGCCTATCATCCTAGTATGCCGAGGTTGGAAGATTACTTTAGGCCCAGAGTTTGATACCAGCCTGAGCAAGAGTGAGGCCCCATCTCTACAAAAAATATAAAAATTAGCTGGGCATGGTGGTGGGCACCGGTAGTTCCATATACATGGAAGGCTGAGGCAGGAGTATCACTCAAGCCCATAAGTTTGAGGTTATAGTGAGTTATGATGACACTACTGTACTACAGCTGGAGAGACAGCAAGACTCCATTTCCAGAAAAGGGGAAGGGCCGGGCGCAGTGGCTCCTGCCTGTAATCCTAGCACTCAGGGAGTTTGAGACCAGCCTGAGCAAGAGAAAGATCCTGTTTCTACTAAAAAACTAGCTGGGCATTGTGGCAAGTGCCTGTAGTCCCAGCTACTTGGGAAGTTGAGGCAAGAGGATTACTTGAGCCTAAGAGTTTGAGGTTGCTGTGAGCTATGACTCCATGGCTCTCTACCCAGGGTAACAGTGAGACTCTTATCTCAAAAGGGAAAAAAGTTTCTGCACAGGAGACTGTGTTTAGGCAGCATTAAAACTGGCAGCACTCAGACCTGGCTGTGTTCTGGGAGAGCCCTTAATCTGGTAGGCATGTTTTATAGACAGTTGTCTTTCCTGTTATGGCTTCCTTCCACCGGGCCTGTGACTCTTTGAAAGGTAGATGTGCCTGTTGGCTAGTGGATGCTGGTGATAGCACATGAACATACCTTGTGGTAACAGATACTTCTAAACATCCCCAGCTTCATGGGCATGTTGTTGGCTCTGGTGTTGCTGCCACGGCAGAAGTAGCACCTTTGTTGCATCCCCAGTATTTGCCTGACTTCTGTTTTCACCATTGTTACTACCCAAGGTGATAGCCTCCTTTGGCCAGGTTTCATGGAATGTTTTGATGGCACTTTTCATCAAAGTCATGTTAGATTACTATATGTTTTTTGATTGCTTGGGAGGGTTGGAGACAAAATTCTGATATAAGAATCAATAACAGGTTATATTGATTTTTATTTTTCTCAGTTTGTACTAAAACTCAAACCAAGTTCTCATGCATTACTAGGTTGGAGAAACGTATGGTAAGGATATAACCTCCAGGGGGAAAGACAAGCCGATTGCCGTATGTAAAATTTTCAGTCGACTTCAGTTTCGAGCTTTATCTGTTCTCTCATTTCACTTAGTTTTCCTAGGATTTCTTATTGAGCCTCAAGTTCCTTGAGTATTCTACACTTAATTCACTCAAGGTTTGAACTACCAGCTTGACTTAAAGCAGTTTGTGAACTGCAATCTGCCCTCCTCCCAAGTGAAAGGAGGGCTGAGTGAGACAGTCTCTCTCCTGGCTGGTTAGAGATGGCAGATGTAATGATTCCACCTGGAAGTTCACCTGGCAGTGTGCTGAGCCAGACAGGACTAACCTTGCTCAGGGCTTTTTTTCTGCTTTGGTGACCTGTGTGGTGGGGCTGTCTGGGGTGTGGCTGTGCAGCGCTGGTGAGCTAACCTGACCATGCTTTGAGATGGTTTGCTGGGATGCTGTGGTGATTCTTAGACAAGCTTGTGCATGCGCCAGCATTTTTAAATGTCATTTATATAAAGCTGTTGTGTGGGATGTTTCTTTCCCTTTCAGGTACAAAATATCAGCTGGATGGTTTAAAGCATTAGCTTGGGAATTGTGTGCATTTTACAAAGTAACATAATTGCTTTTTTCTGTGAAAATGTTTTATAAGCCTAGCCTTTTAGAAACTCTTGGGCATTTCTTTTATACAGGTAAATATTTGAATCTGACTTTCTATACAAGACAGAATGGAAGGAGAGATTCTGATATTTTATATTTAGCTACAACTGCCTTGGGTGCATATTCTCCAGAAGACCTGGTTGTGTTTGACAATTTGTGACAGCATGAGAATGGTTGTCAACTATGAAGACGCCACTTACACATTAAATCATCCTCCTTGCAGAGGGAAGGGCTGCAGTAGCAAATATTTGAGTCCCTACTTTGCGCCAAGGACTGTGACAGGCAGTTTCTAAAGCAGCAATTATATTGGAACCCAGTGATAATCTTGGGTTTTAAATGTTTGTACTTGACATGCCAGTGCTGAACTTGATGAAAAGCACACCATTTGTAGACACTAGGGTTTTTTTGGTTTGTTTTTGAGACAGAGACTCAGTTTGTTGCCCAGGGTAGAGTGCCATGGCCTCAGCCTAGCTCACAGCAACCTCAAATTCCTGAGATTAAGTGATCCTGCTTCAGCCTCTTGAATAGCTGCAACTACTGGTACATTCCACCATGTCTGGCTAATTTTTTATATTTTTAGTAGACATGGGGTCTTGCTCTGCTCAGGGTAGTCTCAAACTCCAAAGCTCAAAGGGAGATAATAGAATAGTACCATTGGCTTGGCGCCTGTGGCTCAAGTGGCTGAGGCACCAGCCACCTACACTAAGGTGGTGGGTTCGAATCCCCAGCCCAGGCCCGCCAAACAACAATGATGGCTGCAACCAAAAAATGGCCGGGCGTTGTGGCGGGCGCCTGTAGTCCCAGCTAC